ATAATGTTTTTTATTGTTATACTGGTGTGATAACTTCATAGACTTCTGATTGGTTTTCTGTATACATCTATTATGAATTTATAGCCCCCTCTGGAGAAAACTACACCAGCCGCTACTGGTGAGACCCCAGACCCCCAGTGCGGGAAGGCGGCAGGTAAAAAAATATATTTTTTTTTTTTCTGGAACCTGGCGTCACCATAGGGAGGAGAGCAGCAGTGAAGCCCAGCACCAGCCACAAACACTCCTCCAGTTTCACCCCCCAAGAGTGCCACAGCCCCTCTACAGTATCCCACCACAAAATGCCAAACCGCAGATAGCCAATCCACCACGCCCCAGCCATTTTTTGCTGTTCCAGGCCCCAATATCCATATATTCTATGGCTGCCCGGCAATCACAATCCAGGTACACCCCCTAGGCCAAGTATGGTGCGCCAGCCACCCAAGTCCAGGCGTCAGACACCCTCCAGTTGCAGCTCCATACCCGACTGCAAGCATTGGCTGCACGCCGGGTCAGGGCAGACAGAAAGGCAGACCCACACCACAGGCTGAGATGCATCCAGTCACATTGATTGTATTATATAATCACGCCAGTCAGTCAGTCCAAATATATCTGTGGGCATGAGCACCAGAAGTAAAGCCCAAAAACCTGACCCACCTCTAGTGCCCTGAATATGCCCACAATGATGGCCTACATATGAATGTCTTGGAAATGTTATAAATGATGCTGACTTAAGTGTTTTCATCAATTCAATTCAGATTATTTATATAGTGCCAATTCACAACACATCATCTCAATGCACTTTACAGTTCACTAAAAGGGATGGGAATGGCCAACCTTAGCCAAGGGACCAAGCAGGACACATAACAGCCCAACCAGCTCCCCAACTAGAACTCCAGTGGGGGAGCGACTGCTAAGAAATCAAAAGATGCTGCAGGGAGCCCAAAGCCCCCCACCAAGTAGAAACATCCCACCCAGAGGTGGCAGTAGGCGACAGGAGCAGATACTAGAGCTGCACCCAAAGCCCCAGATGCCCAAAGGGATCCCAAGAGCAAAGGCGCCCAGGAAGAGCCAACCCAGGAAATCTGACCCCCACCAAGGGAGAATGAGAGATGGCCCCAAGGAAAAACCCCAGCCACCGCAATGCCGGAGCCCCCAGGAGCTGCGGGGAGGAGTCTGCAGGCTCCACCGGTAGCCACCCACCCCAAAGTGTATCCGGCCATGAACCCCCACTCGCAACACAACATCTCTGTGAAGAGAAAAAAATGAATAAATAAAATAAATAAGTAAAACGCGGACGCACATTCACACATAACACTCACATCCAATAATCGTAGGACCCGGCGGCACCGGTGGCTGGTCCCGGGATTACCGGATGACCCAAACTTAGTAAATAATTCTGTAAAGTAGGGACTGTAAGTATGCTACATGCCATGCAATCTTACTTGGCCTACCGGGCCATCCCTGCAGTCGTCAGCCGTAAACCCCGTTTTCCACAAGAAGGCATTAACTATATTTCATACATAATCAATGTTGTCTTCTTCTTTGTAGTAGAAAAACATTACAGTACGAAAGAAGAAAAAGTAAATTGTGTTTACTGGGAATATGCATGCAGCCTTTTTGAACCTTATGTTAAAACTAAATAATATTGGAATTTTGGGTTTTAAGGATCTAGCACAGCTGAATGTTTTTTTTTTTTTTATCTTCAATTGTATGTTGTTTTCTTTGTATATTTAGACACACTCCTTGAGTTTCTTTAAAATCCAATTGCATTTTGTGCTGAAAAAAAAGTGCTGACCCCCAGAATTCAGAGATGTCTACAAAACACATGTCAAAGTGTTTCTTAACTCTAGAGTCACATATGTGAATTTTATAATCTTTTTTTCCTCTGGTTCTTCCAGGATTCTTTAAGGTCAGGTGTCAATGGTGAAATGGAGTTTGTGTCGGCTTGGATTCTATCTGCATCGAGTCTACCCTTTTTCTGTTTCTTTTTGGGTAAGGGAGTCAAATGTCATTGTGGAGCTTTCATCTCAGTAATTGTGGCCTTTTCAGGTCTTATCTTTGTTTAAAGCTGTACACCCATATCCAAAGAATCTTGAAAAGGATTTTTACTTTAATTTAACTGCTACTATGTGTTATATGTTAGATTCCTTGTAAATCTCAGTCAAATACATGTTGATAATTATCTTTGCACTCTATCCAAATGCTATTTACAATCCAATTCAACTTTATTTATAAAGCACTTCAAAATTTCTCAAAGGACCAAAGTGCTGTACAGTGAAACAACATAACACCATTATATAGTCTCAAAAAACTACACAAGCATAAAGGACATAATTAAAATCAGAACTATAAAATCTATAATAAAATAAAAATAATAGTAATTTAAAATCATGTGTCACAGACTAAAATCAACATCTCACACAGTTTAGAAAGCCAAGGCAAAGAGATGACTTTTTAAGAGCAATTTAAAATCGACAACGAAGTAGACAATTTAATTTGCAATGGAAGGTCGTTCCACATTTTTGGAGATGCCACAGAGAAAGCATGATTGCCCCTAAGCTTCCGTCAAGTTTTTGGCACCTCAAGAAGCAGCTGATCAGCTGACCAGAGTGAACGGGAGGGTGCATGAAGGTGCAGCAACTCAGACAGAGGGACAAGAGGGAGCAAGAACATGGAGAGACTTAAAATAAAAGAACTTTAAAATGAATCTTAAAATGTACAGGTAGCCAGTGTTATGAGACTAAAATTGGGACTTGCAGATTTGCTGCAGCATTTTGCACTCTCTGGAGTTGAGCAATGTTAGAGGAACTAACCCCCAAATAAAGTGCATTACAGTAATCCAGCCGGGTAGTGATAAAGGCATGGATTACTGTCTTTATTTATTTATTAAAAAAAAAATAAAAAAAAAAAGATTACTGTCTTTAAAAGATCTCTAGAGAGAATGGGCTTTATTTTGGCCAACTGCGTTAATTGAAGGAACCTTTTCTTCATAGTTGCCTTTATCTGGCTATCAAATTTAAGATCAGCATCCAGTTTGACACCAAGGTTTCTTGAAACTGACTTCCTATACTCAGATGTGCCACTAAAAACCATGACCTTGGTCATACTCTCATTGAATTTCAAAAAGTTAAGGGCCATCCAGGTCTTTAGGTCTTCAAGGCAATTTAACAGCAAGTTGATATAGTTCCCATCTTTTTTTGCTTAAGGAATTATAAATTTGGCTGTCATCAGCATAACAATGGAAATGGACACCATGCTTCCTCATTATGGAGCCAAGCGGGAGTAGATAAATGGCAAATAGAAGTGGACCCAAAACTGAGCCCTGTGGCACCCCACACAATAGGGTAGCAAAAGAAGACCTATAATCACTAAAAGAGACACAGAAAGTTTTGTTTTCTAAATTTGATTTAAACCAAGCCATTGGCGTATCCCTGATGCCAACCCACTGTGCCAGACAAGAAAGTAAAATTTTGTGGTCTACTGTATCAAAAGCAGCAGTTAAGTCCAAAAGTACAAGAATCACACAGTCACCAGAATCTCTAGCTAAGAAAATATCATTAAAAACCCTTAAAAGAGCCGATTCAGTGCTATGTAATGTTTTAAAACAAGACTGGAAAACCTCTTAAATATCATGCTCTTCCAATAAAGGCCATCAGTTGATCATTAAACACTTTTTCAATGATTTTTTAGATAAAGAGAAGCTTAGAAATCGGACTATAGTTTAAAAGAATTGTGGTATCTAGAGCAGGTTTTTTTAAGTAATCATTTAACCACAGAGTGTTTTAAATTTTTAGGAACTACACCTGAAGCCAGACTGCTGTTAACAATAACAAGAGCAGAGTGGCCCACTGTTGGAAAGACCACCTTTAAAAATCAAAGAGGAACAGCATCATATTGAGAGCCAGCAGGCTTTAAACCCCTTACAACCTTATTTTAAAAAGCCAGATTCACAGGCTCAAACTGATTAAAAACAACAGAGAAAGTAACAGGGGTTGATGGGTCAGAATCAGAATGTGAAATAGAAGCTCTAGTTGTTGTGATCTTTTCAATGAAAAAATTAAGACAATTTTCACCAACAGCAGGAGATGCATCAATCACATTTTTCTGGAAAGCGTTTAAAATGTGATCAATAGCCCTAAACAAGACACGAGGGTTGTGACGGTTTGCTAGGAAATCTGAGAAATGCTTTCTCTTAGCATTTCTCACAGCTATTTGATAGTTTTGCCAGTGGTCCTTCAATATCAGAAATGAAACCTTCAGTTTGTCCTTTTTCGATCTGCTCTCAGCTTGACGGCACTCACGGCTGAGTGTCTGTGTCTGGTGGTTTAACCAAGCCTCAGATTTAGTTTTTGGCATCTTCATTTTCATTGGTCCAACACACTCTGGCAAGTGAAATGAAATCAAGAGATAAGTTGTTTATCCTCTGTGTATGCTGGTTCATGTTCTTTCATTAGTTCAATAACTTCAGAAAACTGGGGTGCAGATGAGGGATTAAAAATGCAGCAACTGCAAGCAGGCTTGAGGTTGCATGGGCTAGGGCAAAAACAATGGGTATGTGATTTGAAAAAACTGCTTCACAGAGCTCCAACATTGAACAGACAGGCCATATGATAAAATCAAGTCAGGAGTATGGCCACATATATGTGTTGAACTGGACACGCACTGCACAAGATTAAAAGGGTCATTAAGGTTTAAGAACTCCTTTGACCTCTGCGACAAGAAGAAATCCTTCAGGATAAACATCTTATTTGCTATAGATCTAGCGATTACCAGACCAATCCTTACGGGATCTGCCTCCCCCTACAACCTGGAGGCCCGAGACAAGGTGCGCAAGTTTCGCTGATCCACACCACGCTGGTGCAGACAGGGAGACCACGAGTGGTGGGTCTGGAAAACTCCATCCCGCCCGCAGAGAGGCACCAGCCAGGGATCGATGAAGGCCAAAAAGTATCGGGAAACAGCGACTCCAGAAACCAATACATGACTTTTAGTTGAGGTGAATGAAGAATGCCACAGAAAAACCCTCAGCTTCACTGGTCATCCACTGCGTTTACCCCGGAGAGGTGGAGTCCAGGTACGGAATAGGTGAGTCGGAATCCCTGAAGACAGAGGAGGCAAGGTTTTATGCCAAGCTTATAAAATTTATTGAGACCTGGGTATCCAACAATGTTTGGCGATCATACACCAGTAGAGAATTGACATTTGCTGTGATAATCAAAAAAAGTAACAAAATACCACATAAAGCTGACAGTGACAGACGGCATGCCTCAGAAAATGGCACCATCTTGTCAATCAAACGGTTCATCAGACGATTAATTCTATGAATTCTATGAATTAGTTTAATCTAATATCTACTAAATAGCAAATAAGTCTTCACAAACATACTGGATGTGATACACCCTATACACAAGAATAAGCTTACGATAAGATATTGTAAAACACTAAATGTCCACACACAAGTTGTTTGGTCGAGTTAACTTGTGAGACAAGTGAGGTATGTTATGTACCAGAGAAAAAAAACCTAGGCCGTCTCTCAATTCACGAGAACGCAAGTACAGACTTGTGTCCTCACCAAGCATGTTCTTGAGAAGAACACAGGAAAGTCTAGACTTGGGGAGAACGGGAGCACGCAGCATAAATATGGGGCAATTGGAACAGAAGCGTACTTGTGACGTCGTCACATGCTCAGCTCGTCTGAAGCTATATTTCTCCTCCTGTTATTAATAGTCTCTAGATAACAATAAGGTCTAACTTTTTTCATTTAGTGAGAGAATAATAATTAACACAGCCAGATAAACACAAATCAAATGAACATTTTGCCAAACAAAACAAAAATATCAGAGCCAGCGGTCCTTCACACACGGCTATGCCGAGACAGGGCTGCTATATTAGCCCTGGCTGCTGTTACCCTCAGAGCTCTGCTTGTTGCAGCGGTCCTCTCAACTTCGGGAAAAAACATTTTTAATTATGCATTAAATCAGTATATGGGCCATAAAGTGACGCTTTTCTCGTCTCAAATGATATTAAAACTTGCTTTTATTGAACAACAGCAAAAGAAAAGAGAACTTTAACTTAATACTCTGAGCTCTGTGAGCGCTCCATTGAAAGCTCCTGTTGCAACAGTGCATGCTGGGACAGCTGTCAATCTCAAGAACGGACAAGTCTGCTCTGATGCATACTCACTAAATAGGGAGGGGCGAGAACAACATCCGGGGATTTTGTCCGTTCTTGGTCTGCTGTTCTTATGAACAGTACTAAGGCCAAGGCTGATGACATTTCACGAGCACATGAGAAAGCACAAGTACACATATTGAGAAACGCGTCTAGTCTAGCAAAGAGACAGAAACCATTTGTCTCATATAGCTCTTAAAATCTATAGCCAATCTAAAAACAGCAACTAAATCCTAATCCTTTTTTTTTTTTCTCTTTTTTTTTCTTTTTTTTTTAACAATGGGCATTAACAGATCAAGAAAACTCATTAATAACTGAACATACATAAACTCTATTCCTTCAAACTGATTTGTCAGTGTAAAACATCCAAATTCTGTGTTGAGCGCTTCTAGGTGCATGCTTGTATAAAATGATACAATATGAATATTTACCTATTTATGCACTGAAGTGATAAACGACTTTAGGCAACTTGACGGAAGAGAGAGGAAGGCTGTTTTAGCTGCTTGCCAGAAACAGCCACTATTTAGAGAAAAGGTAACAATGTATATATTTATTTATTATGATAATGTATCACACCCTTAAGGGTAAATAAAGTACAAGGTTTTATCTGAGAGTTTATTCCTAAGAGAGTGAGGACAAAAAGATAAGAGGGTTTGAGCAATAAAAAAAAGAATGGAAGGCTTGCTTATCTGAAATACAAAAAAATAATAATAAAATAGGAATGCAGGCTCAGAAGCAAAATCAGCTGGGGATGCAGCCAAAACAAAGTAAAAAAAAAAAAAATAATAAAAAATAAATATGGCATTTAATAAAAAATCTGTTATCATGGCACAACAAAAAATATAAGCAGGTAGCCTATAGGAATGTTCAGATTACAAGTCATGGCTGCAGCAAAACAGTTTTAGAAAAAAAACATATATTTCTTGATACATAAACTTAAAAAGCAAAAAATGTAAATAATTATATTTCCTTCATTTCATCTTCAAATGCTGCATATTGTATTAAAACAGTTCACTTGCACCATCTCTAAATAACAGCTCAACAATATTGCAGAACTGCTGTGATAAAATTTACATTTTCTGAAATAAGAGTTTAAAGACTGGCCAAGAGAAGACTACTGATGAACTTTGGAAGGAACGATAAAACCAAAAGCAATAACATTTGCACTTGAAACCCTAACCCTTTGAGGTTGCCATCTTATCAATTTACTGCTAAATAAAATCAACATCTTATAGTTCTTTTTTCATATTGATAATATCCATAGCTTACTTGTAAGGAATTGTATTCCTCCTAAAGATACATTTGATCAGTTCAAGCTAACACTGGGTTAAGCAAGTGTTGGTGGGCGAGTAAATTCTTTTTAACATAAATTCAACAAGATGCTTGTTTTTGTTGACATAGAAGCATCACACTATTGCTACAGATTTGCAGGATAGAGATCAATTATGTAAATCTCTTGTTCAACCACAGCCTAATTTGGTTCTATAGCATTGAGATCCTGAGGCTATGACATACAGTGAGCATTATGCCACAATAAAAACCAGTATTAAAATATTTCAGTTTCACACGGAGCAATGTCATGTTGTAAATAAACAATACAAGATCGGTACACAATGGTCATACAGAGATGGACAGAGCAAATTATTGAACCCCGACAGTGTTAATTTTAACACCTTTTCAGGGTTTATATAGGTCCAACATATTCAGAGTTAAATTAAAACAAGCAGTATTCCTTCCAAAAAAGTAAAAAAAAAAAAAACAATCCACTGGACTTTGTTTCTAAGTTCGAAGACATTTTGCTTCCCATCCAGGAAGCTTTTTTAATTCAAAATGTCAGACAGTAGCATTGAGTTTAAGGCTTTTTTTAAGTAGCCCAACATAGCTTTTGCTTTTAGAAAGCTATGCCAAACTCTACCGTAACAATCTAAATGCTGATTTTGAGATATTTATAAGCAAGTACAAATTTTCAGTCTGTTATTGACAAATTTTGATGAGTTTGTAAAAATTATGGCCTTGGCTTTCCGATCTTAGTAGGCATAAGTGTCACTGGTCTTGGTCTCCATCTGCTTCAGAGTTTAATGTTTTATTGCTCAAAAGCGGTATTCCTCACATATTTAGATGTACTGTAGCAAGACGAGAACTGCTACTGCACCTACCAAGACATCTGAAAACAGGCAACTTGTGCTTACTGCATTTACCATAAGTGTGTATGAAAATCTCTGTGAATCTACAGTTTTCTAAATTTATACCAGCTTACCTGGAATCAAAAACAACGCCACACTTAAATCATGCTGCCCTGACTTTTTGCAACTAACCACATGGTCACAGGACACACACTTTTATCTTTAACAATGTAATTTAGGGAAAAGCACATTTTTGGGATATAAATTTATATTTTACTTAAGCACATAAAAACGAAGAGTTATCACTTGTACTTGATAACCTATATTTTCAAATTTTGAAAAAAGAACACATCCACTCAGCATCTGTTATGTATTCATTTATGTAAAATGTATGCAAAAATGCTTCTATTTGGCTGTTTGTATGCATCCTCTGTAATGGCCAATCCTGCCCTTCATATTTGACGTGAGGTGACTGGTTCAGCCTTGATCTAAGAGCTCTGCCTCTCACTCATGTTGTCACATGCAACAGAGCATGCACTTCACAAACAACTTGGTCATTGTTTCAATGAAGGTCAAAATTTAAGCAACTCACTGGAGTCTGGCAGTCCCTCTCTGCAGGGTATTGCCTAAACAAGACTTAAGCTTTGATATGAGGTGCTAATTGAAGTAAGTATTTGAACTGGGCTCCTTAAGCTAAATTTATTCTATGTATAATACTGATATTATGCTTAAGTGGCGGATAGTGGTTCTGCCTTAAGGTTACCTCTCTGATTCAAGCGCACTCAACCAATGAATTTCCCCACATAGCCTGACTGAAGGATGGCCAACCATACCTATGGCAAACAAAGGGGATTAAAGTGATAATCGTTACTCATCCTAGAAGGAATTAGGTAGTGGGACATTGACAATGAAGAAAAAGCACAGGTCAACAAGGCTCTTTGATACCCCACGCTTTTTTAACATCTCCCCATACCCTATCTATGTGACCAAAGGGAGGTTTAATTTGCCATAATCAAGTGGGAATGCTTAAGCATTCCCACTT